TTAAACTTATCTTGTTCTAGAATTTAGGGACTAAATAACACCAGTGTAACACAATGTTTCTGGGTTATAAATATAATTTTCGAATTAGTTTCATCATAAAAACATGAACAAACTTCAACTTTTTCGTTAAGTTTTCGGTCAAAACAACGAAAAAGTTGAAATTTGCGTCCCATTAAGGAAACGTAAAAATTTTCGTGATTTTCAATTATTTTTTTAAAGACAAAACATATTTCAAAAAGAACCTAGAACTGTGTAGTTTATAATCTATGTACATAGTAAATGTAGTACGTAGTAAATGCCTATGCCTATTACTTATGTAAATGTTTACCATTGTGACCGCCACAAAAGCAAAGTTTCAGGGGTATAGCTACTCTTTTCTACATACTTGCTATTCTACTATTAGTAACAGTAGAGCTCCTTGTGAAAGAGTTCGTCCAACGTAGTACTGCCACCTTAACTATTTCTGCCGCCATGCAGTAATATCGACATTACTGTGTTCCGATTTTGAAGAGTAAGGATGCTGGTGAAATTACAGGCACATGGGACTTGTCAACTTATGTCTCAAGGTGACGGGCGCAGTGGTAGTGCCCCTCGGATCTTTGCAATTTAAATCTCTGAGTGGCACTGTAACTGTTATGGACAGGCGTGTAGCTTACCATCACGCGCACGACTCGTTCGTCCCGTCACTTGATGTTAAAAAAAAATAAAACCAAGAACGGAACCTTTTTGAAAATGTGTTATATAGTGTAATTGGTGTATGGCATGAATAATTTCAAAATCCTGACCTGATCTAGATCCTCCTGCGTGTTGACAGTATCAAAGGACCCATCGAGTATAGCTCGGAACATAAACTCGTCTATCCCAGTAAAGGTGTTGTACACTCTGTAGAAGTTCTTTTGCAGGAATTTTCGCGCGACCTGTGCCGCGAATGGGGGGGCTGTGCTCCATACAGCTCCGGCGTATTGTTTTGGGATTTCTGATAGACTTTTCTCTAGTAGCCTAAATAATAAAAGGTTTCGCATTTGTAGGTTTTCGCGATTGTTACACATTGGAAATGAAACTATCTTTTCAGTCAGCTGTGACCATAGGACCTGTAAGCGGTCCCGAAACGTTGGTTTGTGGAATAAAGAAATATACGCGATTTAGATCCGAAAAAATTGTTTCATTTGCAATAATAAAAAGTTATTATTGTAAACAGTGCACAATTTAAGAAATATTAATAAATGTCATACTTAACATGATTATCGCGAAATAAATTGAAGGCAAACGTAAACGGCCAAAGCAGTCAATGTTATTTATGGGAATGCTCAAAATATGTTTTAAAAAAAGCAACAAACATGCCAATGATACTGCGGTGACCATTTTATAAAAAGCTTTAGTTCAGCTCATTAACGTCAGCTTCATTAACTTAAGATTAATTTTAAGATGCAGTTTAAAATTGCACATTGACGTCATTAACGTAAGGTTAATTTTCGTCAAATATTAATTAATTTTGAAAAATTCTGAATGTACACTTAGAAATGACTAATTTGGTTTTGTGGATAATTGGTTGTTGGTAATGTATGGCAAAACGAATAGATTCTCTAACGAGTCACAAGAATTACCAAAATTTGCCATAAATATAATGTAGTCGTTAAATACTTTAACAATAATAACTTTATTGCAAGACTTAAAAATAGGCACAAAATTGTGTCCAGCTCCCAAACTAGGATCCCCTGTACTATGGGTAGCTAGGTCTTACATCTGTCACGTATGTTGCCATAAAATAACAATAATAAACCTATTGCAATAAATGTACAAAATATGGTAAGCAGAACACAAAAAGGAGGAGGTTTACATTTAATTTTGGATACATTCTGCTGCCAACTCCAGTCCTAACAAAGAACAAAAACACTAAGAATTATTTTCAAGGTGGGATGCATCTTGCATTATTATTAAAAAAGCAAATCACAAAAGCATGGTAGTTTTAACTGCTTGTGATCGCCATTCACTAATCACCGGTTTAACATGGTGAAGCTGATACTGCGAATTCAAACATACATTTCGTTTCGTACAGGAATAAAATAACCAAAAATATCATTATATATCAATTGTGATATTGCAAGTAAAAGACTAACAAATTACTTTTGAACCTGAAATGGAGGGTAAGTTTTATACATTTGATATCCATAATATTATACATTATGGAAATGTAAGTAAAAACGTGAAATAAATTTATTCAGTTTAATTGATTCGGCTCGGTTTAAATTTAGTCGGTCGGTTGGTGTATAACTGTGGTGGTACTAATTTGTTATCGAAAGAATCATAACACACCCATAATTTACGCAGAAAATAAGTTATTTTTTAAATTTAGTTTTATTAGAAAGGACATTAAACTTAGATTAGATTTCCGAGAATATACTCACGTGTTAATAAGAGCCTCATCACGCACGCTGGGTAGGCTGGCGATTAGCCGCTCCTTGCCAGATGGGTCTGTCGTATTATAGAATCGGCTGAGCACGAATTCAAACTCCCGACGGCCTCCGTATCTCAGTGCCGTATCGTAAACTATGAGACGGAGATGGGCTGGAATACTGCGAATTCAAACACACACTTCGTTTCATACAAAAGTTCAGTGCATCTCTCTCTTTCGTTATCAGTAAAAAAAGGACAGTAAAGTTCCATTCAGTTTATCGTTTATACAGGGTTATTTGACTTTTAATAATTCATCGGACGTTACTTTCGTACAAAAATAAAAATATTCAAGCAGATCGCTCTAAACCGTGATATCTCTAGTAACAAAAGAAAATGTTTGCGTAAATACCAGTCCGATGCAAAACGCAGGAGCGGGGGTGATAGTAGAACAAAAATTTAAAAGTTTATTTTTGGTAATTTTATTATCTTTTGTCAAAAGCCATGAAACAGAAGTTGTTGTTTTATGTTAGTAATATAGTCCTGCGAGATGTTAGTATTTTACAAACAACCCCGTAAGATATGCGACGTAGGAACTATAAGTTCATTACATTTTTATTTCTACATTAATTTTTCATAGTCTGTTCTATCCGACATGAATAAATGTTTATGAGAGCGTGGGAAGGTTGACCTTGGCGTGTGTGTATCCCAATCAACTTAGAATGTTCTTTGAAAATGTCAAGGCAAAAGCACCAAGAATAAATAACGAACAGAATGTCGCGAACGTTGCAAGTCCAGATTTCTGCCTAAGCCATTGGGAGGCAGACGTGATTGTATGTTAGTTTGTATGCTCACTCCCACTGCTATGAAAGTGTTCGTTCTCTTCTGCCACAAAAATGAAAGATTCTACCATTCAAGTGCTAAATTTTATTCGCCACTGATTGGAATTCATACTGGAACATGTGAGGTACCTGCATATCCAACATAAAAAATGCATTTGTAACTCCATTTGCTATGGTATTGATATTTACGGGTTGCCAGTGCCACCGGTGTTCATCCAGATGTTGAACTCATGCGTAGCCCAGTCGCGGCAGCGTGGGGACTCCATCTCGCAGTCCCAGGAGACCAGACCTTCGACTAGTAGGGCTTCGTTGTCATCCCGAGGTTTCTCTAAACCATACTTTAATTTCGCCAGTTGCTTGCTAATTAGGAGGCGCACGTAGTCCTGTGGTTTACAATGGATAATTTTAAATAAAATAATGTTAGAAATTTTTAAGGCGTATTTGTGATGCCCAGTGATGTCGGTCGGTTTAAGGGAGCCTTCAAATTAGACGCTTATAGTAGTGCTGCAACAGTGGTGCCACTGTGGCGCTGTAGCCGCGTCATTACTAATTTTAATACAACGGTCAGAAGCGCAGCTGCAGCGCCACAGTTGCGCCACAGACGGGTCTTTGCTGCGCTTCTACAAGCGGCGTTGAGTCACACGAGTTGCATTACAATTGAATAGGGAAATTACAGGCACATTGGACTTGTCAACTCATGTCTCAGGGTGAAAGGCGCAGTGGCAGTGCTCCTCAGATCTTTGTGATTTAAAGCACTGAGTGGCACTGCAACTTTTATGGACAGGAGTGTCGCTTACCATCACGCGCACGACTTGTTCGTCCCATCATTTGGTATTGTTAAAAAAGAAAGAATCTACTGCAAATAATAGTTGGACAGCAGTGGATGCCGTCCTTACAACTGCACGCTCACTGTGTGCTGGCTGCACAACAGCTGTACTAGCAGTCGGGCACTTCACACTTTGTTCTAGGAAATTAACTTTTTTTTAAATGTTTTTTACCCTTCTCATTTATATTGCAATGAACTGCTAACACAGGTTTGAATGAGATGAGAGAAAAACGTTGTCCCTGTTACTACAAATCCTAAAACAATTTTTTTATACTAGGAATGTTTTTTTTTTTAAGAACCCTGTGGTTGTGGCTGACTGCGAAGTTTTGATTTTGATTTTTCGGTTTCAGTGTTGCCTTTATACAACATTTTTTTGTGAATAATCCTTATATATATAAAAACTTCTAGAATAGGGTTTCCTAACCTGGGGTCCACGGGGGACCATGTAATCCGTGGGGTCCGTGACGAGCCTACCTAACATAATGCAACAGGAACCGTCATACTAATTATTCATATGTATAGGAAATGAAACTGTTTTTCCGGATTTAAATCGCGCATATTTGTTTCAAACAGTTTGTTTGATAAAACAAATATACGCGAAAAGATATACGCTAAAAACTGTTTCATTTCCTATGTGTAACAATCGCGAAAACCTAAGAACTCGATATTCATGTGTAGTTAAGTAAGTAAAGTTTAATCGCAAACAATAGAAACTAATAAAAGCTAAATGTAGTTTTTGTTTATCATTTCGTAAAGGGTCCATGGTCTTTTTGAAATTTTGAGAGGAGTCTATGTCTAGAAAAAAGCATTCTAGCAATTACTAAAAATTAGTAAAATAAATATCTTACCTGGAATCGTGTATATCCAGCAGTAGACGCAAGGTTAGTTTTCAAGAATCCCATATTAGTCAGAATCGTGTCCCATACAGCCTTCGAGTCCTCTCCCTCAATAGCGTAAGTAGTAAGACTAAGAGCTTCACTATAGCTAAGTAACGAAGCTTTGGCGAGATTAAAAGCGTCGTCGATTAATTGAGCTCTAGTAATAGCCGATTTCACTTGTCCGTTTTTAAGAGCTTCACTAAGCATTTGCCAGTTCTTTTGATCATAGTTTACGCGATAGTAGCCTTGAAAATAGATATATTTTTAAATAGTTTACTTATTACTTGATAAGTCAAATTTAAGGAAACAAATTCAATAGCGGACATTACATTAAAGTCATGTTTGGACTTGAAATAGCCTAAGGATTCTCTTTCACATTTGACACACAAAATCTATTAATTAAAGCACATAAATGTTTATAATTGTGTAGGTATTCAAAAGGTTTTTTTTTTATAAATTATAAGTGCGCATTTGACCTCCATCTCACCTGATAAAAAGTGACTGACGGTGAGATCGGCGTACACACCTAAATAATGCCTATTCTCTCTCGCCTTGAAAAGACCCAAGTTATAACGTTCAGGGAACAAGTCTGCATTCAGGGAATTCCACTCCATAGCCGTTCGCCATATATATGATTGAAGAATAAACATAAAAAATCAATAAAAAGTCTTGGTAGGTCTTGACTTGAAGCGTGCTCTCAGCTTGGCAATTAGAAGGAACTGATGCGAAGTGCGAACACAATTCTCCTTAGCGGCTCTCTCCGCCTCTTTCGCACTCATATAAATTATTGGGTAGCGAATTTAGGCTTTGACAATATAGTGGCCAAGTGATTTTGAATTGAATTTCCTTTGTACTAGAATTAATTATCGTTTAAGTATTTCTAATGAAGTTTGTACAGTTTTTAAAAATAAAATATTGAACAATGAAATACCCTTACATTCTATATATCGACACCTCCTACGTAAAGAATCGTATGTTGAAATTGCCAAGATTACAGGGGAGCATTTTAAAGTTCTCAATTCACTGAAATAAGCATAACACGTGACTTTAGCATTTCTCAGTTTGCTGCTCGTTACTCACATAGAGTATTATAAAATCGTAGATATTGGTTAGATGATCTATGATGATCAACTAACCTATATCTATGATGATGATGTGAGTAACGAGCTTTGCTGAATAAAACGGAGAACTTTAAAACGCTCCCTTGTAAACTTGGCAATTTCGACATACGATACTTTACGTAGGAGGGGTCAGTATGAAGTTGAACAACTGTATGATAATGGATCAACTTAGTAACTTGAAAAAAAAAAGAATCTATACAAAATGTCAGTCAGCTGATTAATATCGTTTGGAAACAATTTTTTTTAACAAACTACGCATTTAAAAAATAATAAGATTCACGCAAAAATACAGGGATTTAAAGTATTATATTTATATTACTGCGTATAGAAAAAAAAGGTTTGTTATAAGCAATATACTATACGTACATGCTACTGCATTGTATCATGTGTACAAGTTTAAAAATAGACTTTGTTTTACTAAATACAAATAATAAACCACGATTAAAAATAATTATATGATATTTATCCCAATGATATTTATCCATGACCCATCTCTAATCACAGCTCTTCTTTTTACCCATTTCTAATAATTCTGTCAGATCTAAGTCAACCTAACTAAATAAGTAAGAAAAGGCGGCAAAATACATAATATGACGACCTTGTGAAAAGTGTATTTTAGATTTAAAATTCAAGTTTTGAACATAAGCCATACCTTGTTTCTAATTAGTTGTCCAACTACCAGTACTAAAGATATTGTCAGTTTTTGTTTCATTGCATTTTTTAATTATTGTCTCAATTGTCTAAATATTATACCTTGTTTTTAAACTAGGATATGAGTGTATTGTAATGTAGTAAATTAATATTTGGCTGCCAATTAATTGCAATAATAATGTTACTTACATGAAAAGACTACCAAGTGACCGCCGCTGTATATAACCATATATAATTTGAATTTATCTTACCTATAGCGCCAACATTGACGTACAATGCCTGGTCAGAAGCAACATCGATTTTAGCAGTAATTTCTCGTTCGGTTAACCAAAGCTTTGGTTTAGTACTCCAATTACCAGGCATTCCTACTGACGTATAGCTGATGGGAAGCTGCCAGATCTGTTTAACCATACGCTCATATGGCTCGCTTGAGACTGTGAAGAGTCGCTGGAATTACATTACAAATGGTTCTAAAACTTGAAACATAGATGTTCGTAAAGATTACAAAGTTCTAAAAAATCCTGGAGCATAAACAGTCAGTAATAAGCAAATAAATTACGATCCTAGTTGAACTTCAAGATGGACTTTTTAAGTTTTGCTCGAATAAGGCACGTGTAGTGTCTGGGGATTGACTAACAGGTTCCTTTGCTTTATTGTACATACCTGTTCAAATTGTGCATCACCAGCTTCGTAGTTTCTAAGAACGTTAACAACTGGATATCCAGCTTGACGCGTCCATGAGTTCATAAAAGTAACGATGGATCGATCTTTTAGCTCTGGATCAGTTTTAGTCACGTTCGACATCGCTTCCCACAGGTCATTCTCTTCTGCGTTTGTGTATTTCCTGGAATGTTTTGGTATTTAAACTTAGCAACAGCCACAGTAGTGTACTCTAATAGTCAAAATATCAGTAGTCAATCATATTTATACTTCGAATATATCACAAACAATATTGGTATATACTACAGAACAATCTGCCATTTTTATTGTACGTTATGGACGTGTCAATTATCTCTAACAAAACCTCTAAAATCTTAGAAAATGTCTTATTTGGTCGTTTGGAGGGCAATTTCATATCATCGTTAAGTCTTATTTTATTTTAATAAATTTTTCAATATACATATAAAGTAATGCTGCATAAGCAACCTAAAGAGAAAACCTTATGATATCTGCTGTCCACTAACTAAAATACGGCTAAGTGACAAATGGTCTAATAACCATGTAAATAGCCAAAAATAGAGCACACAGTTCTCTTTTAAAAACAGTTAAAATTAATTAACGCGTTCGACTCATCGGAACTTACCCTAACGCTGCGTAACTGTATTATCATTAAACAATTTCAATATTCTATTATCTCAGTACAGAGTACTAAAAAAACCGACCTCAAAAGTACGTGGGAATTACGTCTATTTGCTAAGTTTTATTGAAATATCCCCTAGTTCGCCACTATACAGGACTTGACACTGGAGGTAATAATAATCGGTTCTCACTACACAAAGTATATTGAGAGAAAAACGCCTTGAATTGGAGAAATAGCAAAGTCAACCATTAAAATAATTGCTGCTAAATTAAAGTTAGGCGCTATTTATAAAAATGAATCTTCATGCGTGAACAGCCACCCTTAAAGGTGGGTGATTTTCTTCAAAATGAAATGGGACCACTATGGAAGTACCCCCTTTAAAAAAAAAAAGAATCATGAAAATCGGTTCACAAATACCGGAGTTATCGCGTTACATACAAAAAAAAAGAAAAAAAAGAACATACAGTCAAATTGAGAACCTCCTCCTTTTTTGAAGTCGGTTAAAAACTGGGTTATGGTGTTTTATGATATTTAAATAAAATAAAATAAAATAAAATAAAATATTTATAAAATATTTTGTCACTTAGCCGAGTTTTACTTAGCGGACGGCAGATATGTGGTGGATAATCATAATACTCACCACTCATTCAAATAGTGCACAAGGCCTTTCTGGAACAGTGTTTCAGAGATAGTATGATTCAGCATACGAATAAGGTTTGCACCCTTCTGGTAGGAGAGTTCGTTGAACTTCTGCGCTATGTCGGCCGCATCGGTGACCGCGCGAGACACTGCTTGAGTGCTACGTAAGGAATCTGGTCTTAAAAGATCCATTTTGTAACGGGTGAACTGTTCTAGTATATGCAGCCCTGGTTCTACCTATAATTGTAGGCCTGGTTTTAAATCTTATACATCTTATACATGTAGGTATTTAGTATATTGGCTTTTTATTATCGAGAGATTATTTCATAAAAGATTTAAAAATGGGAAGCATTGCGATGTTATTTCGTCAAAATTAACCATAATTAAATTATTTATTTATTAGAAGCTGTGGTAGCCTAATGGATCTATAACTTAATCGAATCGAATATGGGCTCGCACCTGGGAGTTTCTCGGAATATATGTGCGAAATGTAATTAGAAGTTTACCATGAGCTAACGGTTCACAACTCTAGGAAAACGTGTGAAATCCCCAAACCGCGTTGGGCTAGCGTGGCGGATTATGGCCTAAACTCTCGCCTGATAGGAGAACCGTGCCCAGCAGTGGGACGTATAAAAGGGTTGAGGATGAGTTACCTCAGTGTCACCATTTTGGCATCTAATATGATTAGTAACTCTAATTTGATACTTTTAAATTTATTGCATGTATATATATTTACAATTGAGACATTTGTATAGGATGGTTGCAATATAATATACGTACTGTAATAAACTTCTGATTAAAAATGTGTTAAAAAATTACAACCATTTGTGACAGTGGTCATAGATACTTACATGATCAAACCCAACAAACTCAATGTAAGTGGCGAAACCTTCGTTAAGCCACAGATCGGTCCACCAGCGCATTGTGACGAGGTTGCCGAACCATTGATGTGCCAGCTCATGTGCTGCAGCGATACCAACTTGCATTCGCTCCCGAACTGTGCTTGTGCCCTCATCCACTAAGAAGAATGGCTCTCTGTTGTGAGATGACATTATTATAAATTAATTTATTTTGCACATAGAGCAGGAAATTAAACAGTGGGTCTGTTTTAATGGTTTTAAATTCTATAGTTATTTGTGATTTTACGTCTGTTTTTAAACATGAAATACGAACACATGTTCATAAATGTGTACATGGCTGGCTTAAATTTACTCATAATGAAATGTTACCTAAATTTTTTTTTCTACAATATTACTTTAAATTATACTAAATTACCTATATAATTACTTTATATTTGGATGATATTTTCAAGTATTTCTAATATTTAATTATTTTTTATTTTAAACTGTAGTGACTAAACAGTATGAATTTCCTCAAGCATTCTGTAATTAACTATAGGGTCAAAGATATATGATCGACGATATTTGAACTCCAGTCTATAAGTATTTTAAAGTTGTACATGATTATAAGGTAAGAAAGTAAGGTAAGAATGTACCTGAAACGATTATACCATGTAGAAATAAGTACAGGTAGTTATGTATGATGGAGACTAGGATCTCTTTGCTTCTCATAAATTTTACCCATAAGAGAGAAGCTTAGAAATAACCATTTTATTAAATTTAAATGTTTTAATTACAAATCTTACCTAAAAGTTATCAAGCCCCAGTTTTCCATAGCTCCACTTGAAAAATCAGGTATACCAATCAGGTCTATTTTATCTAACGCATAAGGAACTCCAAAGAGATCTTCATAGTACTCCAACAGTTTAGGAGTGATGGTTAAGGCATAGCGCGCTTTCTGCAGTAATTCAGGCCTTACCCATACTTTCACTGGTTTGATAATATTATCTTTGCTCACATAGCTTGTTGCAATAGACACAAAGTCGCACATAACATATGCAACTAAGTATGTGGACATTTTCACAGAACGATCAAAATGTGTCCATTGCCAGCCAGGTTGGTCAGCTCTGTAAACAAGCACACAAATGACTAGTCTTATTCGAAGTCAAAAGCTATCACGATGAACAAGTTAGTTTTTTATCGAGTTCTTAGGTTTTCGCGATTGTTACACATAGGAAATGAAACAATTTTTCCGGATTTAAATCACGTATATTTGTTTTTTCAAACAAACAGACGTTTCGGGCCCTTTACAGGTCCCATGGTCACGGTTGACTGAGGTGGGGCAGTCTTCAACCAGTTATGTCTAATATTGATGCAAACCACCCTATTTTTGCACTATAGTTACAATAGTTATTAATTAAATACCTTATTTTTAATTTTACGAAGGAAACATTCCAATTTACGCTACACTAAGTTTTACAAATTATTTTATTGAATGAATTTTTATTAAGCTCAATTTATTATAAATTAATTTAAAATTTGTTTGTAAAAACAAATATACGCGATTTAAATGTGGAAAAAATATTTTATTGCCTGAGTTAGTTTTTTTTTAAGAAAAAGGTTTCAGATATGTGTAATAAATTTCAGTACTGGTAATGACTAAATAAAGGTAAGTACAACTTACATTAATTCCTGTGTAGAAACTTTCATATTGGAGAGTACAGTCAGGTTTTGTTTATGAGCAATACTGATTTCAAACTGGGCTTTAAATGCAGGTTCATCAAAGCATGGAAATGCTCTGCGTGCTGATGTAGGTTCAAACTGAGTCGCAGCTATTGTTCTGAAATATTTGTTTAAATTATGACTGAAAATTGTATTAAGTAACACACACACTCAACATAGCCCCATACTAGGGAAACCCTGTGTCGCATTAAACCTCGGACTTCTGTGTGGCAGTCCGGCATGGTAAATGTATGGCCTCGGCAGTTAAAGTGAGCTTTGGATTATTAAATTGTAAGGCGTACAGAGCAATGTGTAAGACAAGACTTCAAAGGGGTTGGAACCCCCAAAACCTGAAATAAAGCTAACAATGTATTTTTATGACCTAGAGTTTAAGAAATTTTATGCACCTTTCTTCCTGTTTTTCATTTTTGTAAGTACTCTTATAGAATCCTGTCATGCTGTTGGAAATGTTTCCTTGAAAAGACATCTCTAATATGTAGTCCACATTTGGCTTCAAAGCAGAAGCTAGAGTTAGTATTAGTCTGTCACCACTAGCTTCCAAAATGGAGACAATCTTAATGTTACGCACACTGCTGGTTGTCACTTGTGTTTCCCAATTAGCACGCCGATTACTAATATTGTCAGCATTTCCTTGAGATTCAGTGATATTTGCCAATTTATCTATGAAGACACTAGTGTTGCTGCTGCGCATAGAAGCATTAGAAACATTTTGTGTAGTAGAACTTGTAGTACTATTTACAATAGTTGCAGTAGTGTTTGAAGAATCTATAGACATTTTTGTGCTTATGCTAGGAGGTGGTGGTGTTGTATTTGCAGTTTGGGTTTCAGGTTTATTTTCCAATGTTGGCGATGTACTTGTTTTCTCCACATCTCTTTTTGCTCTTCTATGTAATGTTTCTACTTTCTCATAAATTTGTTCAGTGACCTTAGGATTGGGTCCTATACTGAGATATTTAGAATGTAAAATAATTTCTTTCACTTTTCTACTTGCCCGTATTGTTATGTAGACATCACCAGTAAAGTTTAGTGTGTCTAGGTCTGCTTTAATTTTTAATCTGTAGAAACTTGGCACAACTTCAGAAGGCAGTCTTACTCCTGATGCAACTAACTCTTGATAATCTGGTTGTTCATTCCAATATTCCTCAGGTTTTTGTGTTAACTGAAAAAAAAAAAAAAACAACATCTGATCAATCAGTTGATACATAATGTATCTTGAATTTCTGTATCTTGTACACTACCTGTTTACCATGAGTTACACGGTATAAATAAAATATATAAGTTGTCGTTATTTGATGACTGTTTACTGGATACTGAATGAATTTCTGTGTAGTTGTGCTCATAACAAATTCCGACTTACTGTTTCGAAACATCGATTTTAACGTGTAGGTACGTATTACCCATCTGATTTTAAAACTCCCAAAATGTATACTAATTAAAGTGTACTTACGTTGTCATTTGTATTGCTAAACACTAAATTAATCATGATTATAACACTAAATAATCTCCGAAACATTTTGTACTTAAAAAATAAATGGTAACTTCCAAAAACTGGTGTAAATTTCTCTGTCATAGCGCAGAAAATTAGCTATCCATTTTTGCATTCGTTATTAAACTACTATTTTTTCTTTATAATTTTGTTATAAGTTACACCTTTATCAAAACAACGGCAGAATTAAAATTCGTGAAGTCCGCGAAACGTCATTTTGACGTGAATTTTATTTTAGTGGCAAAGGTTATGTTTACGAAGAACGATACGGTAATCGTCCGGTGATAAATTGAAACTGCGGAAATTTAAACTGAACTTTACTGATAACAGTTTTTTAACAATAAGGGTGACCACACATGACGCCGCCCCCGCCACGCGGGAGTTGCAGTGTCTATAGTCATCACCAAATAAGAGGCCAAAATTGACACCTGTCACGGTGACACAAATAGGTATGTGGACTAATCATATTATATGATTTTCACGAGAAATCGATTCAAAATTTTAAGAGTTTGTGATTGTTTAGATTATGTTTCGGTCAGTAACATAATCTAACCGCTAAGGCTAATCCTATTTTATATTGGTCTGCAAAAAAAGTAGTTTTGAAATTTCTAAGGGTCGTATTTCAGAACTCTACTCAATGCTTCAGTCAGGACTTGAGTATAATTTCAAGCACTGGAAATACGACCCTAATGGAAAGGACTTGAGTATGATTTCTAGTGCTTTAAATCATAGTCAAGTCCTGGTTTGAGCCTTGAGAAGAGTTCTGGAATACGACCGTTAATATAATAAGTGTACGATATTTGGCAATTGTTTCTACTTTTGTGTCATCTGAACGTTTTTTCTCACGTCTTTTCTCATTTGCTAATTTTCATCGAAAATCGTAACCGACAGAGGTCGAAGGGCCGTCAAAATTATAATTTTTTGTCAAAATTAATTTTGAAATCATAGATTTAAAGCCAAAAATCGTGCATCCCTAACTGCAGCACCAAGCAGCGGCGCGAATGCAGCTCATGCGGCGCGGCGCGTACAAGTAAAATTGGTAGAGAATTGCGGCAGAGCACGGTGATTCACGCTCCATACTAAGGCGGTCATAAATACGTAACTCCGAAATTATTATTATTTTTTTATTTTATTACGTTAAAATATGATTAGGTAAACGTAAATTAATAAAATTATACATTTTAAAAAATATTTGACAATATTTAGGTGTAAAAATGTCTCGCAGTAATTTTGTTTTTAGACGATGTATCTAAAACATTTTATACTGCGACTTTTAATGGTAAAACTGAGTAGGTAAATAATGATTATTTGTATTAACAATAACCACAAATGAATAAATTAAAACAATAAAAATACATAAAAAAGTTCATTTTACAAAATACAAACAAAACACAAATTATACCAAAATACATTAAATCTCAACAATATTAACTTTAAATACATAACAAGTCTAATACAGCTTTTGACAGTACACCTTTTTTTTTAACAGGTAACTTTCGTAGACCTGTTATGAAGGGATCTGAATGAAGAAGCAGCCTATTTACTAAATCTGTGTTGGTCACAATGCGACTCATTTTACGCGTATGATTTTTTCTAAAAGACTTGATGTATTTGTTAGTCGCTTCAGCTGCTTCTTCAGACAACTCTCCGATTGACAACAAACCGTAATCTATAACATTAGCACCATGAATTAGAACTTTGTGAATGGAAGCAGGCATGTTATACCACGGATACTCGGCAACTAACTGCCGAGCCGTCTCTAAAGCGAACTCTTCGAAGTTCGTCTTATTAATATTATATCCCGAATTTAAACATTGAAGGATGATCCAGCAACGATCTAGGAGATCCTTCTTGATCCCAGTAATTTCAGCGGAAATTTCTGAATTCGAGAAAAACCGCCTGGCTGTATTACCATCGTTTGATGTTCCGCTTCCGCCACTTTTAGGCTTATCCACTATAAGCCCTAATCTTTCTCTAAATTGAGTCTGAACATATGATTTTTTTGCAGCAACAAGCATTTTGTCATTAGCGGACCTAGCTTGCCATTTCCTAACATCTAACTTGTACGCGACATGAACAAAATATTCAAAAAAACGTATTAACGCGTGAAGAGGTGATAAACCAAATTCATATTTACTCTCATCGACTTCCTTATTTAAACATTCGTCAATTTTGTTCATTTCACTGGGCAAGGCGTTACAAATAAAACATTTTGATGAAGAAACACCACTAAGTGCATTACACACTTTACCATCTACCATAGTAAGTTGCAAACAATGAGTAATGCGATATTCGCGATCTTCTTCCTTGAAAACAGTAGGCTGCAAGTTCCTTATTTTATCTTTAAAATGAGCTTCTTCCTCAACTGACACTGCAGTCGATTCCTTCAAATATCGGAGGCGTATAGGACGACAGTATCGAGTTGATGAAGGACGAGGATTTTTCCACAAAACTACTGAATTTTCTTTGTTATCTGTTGTCAAAACAAGCTGAAGTGGCACATACGAAGTAACAAACAGGCTACTGTCTTCAAGAGTGGAGTCAGAAAAACACTGTTTATATTCTGAATGCCCTGTACTGCCATCGAAACCCCATTTCCCTATCAAAGATATCTTATCTAGAGACTCATTAGGTACACTATCCAAAACATCTTTTTGAGACTTGAGAATCCGATTGGCAGTATGATCTAATAAACTTTGAAGTTCGACTTCGGCGGATGATTCTGTAACAGTAATATCTGAAGGATAACAGTTTTTTTTAGATTCCACGACACTTTGGTAAGATGGGAAAATGGTTTTTGAAAACTTATTGTCTATAAATTTCTTTACTAATATATATTGATGTCGAGTTAACTGAGCTTCAACAATGAGCGATAAAACTTCGCTAGAATCGATTTCAGGACAAGACAAGCTATCGGACGCATTGAGCAATGACTGTACAAGAGAAGGGTCTAGTTAGTAGTAGGGTCGGGTTAGACAAACTAGCCAATCTTCTCCTTTTTGTACGTTTACTGGTGTCGTCAAAGTTATTTCTCGGACGGCCATGCCATGAAGAAGTTGATGGTTTAACTTCGTCAAAGCTCTGAGATACACGTAACTCAGTTCGCTGTACATCAATATTTTCAACGACATGCAGCCAATCTGAATATTTTTCTAAGAATTTAGATCTAGTACGATTCGACTTTGCCCAGTAGTGGGAAATTCGTTTACAAATATTCTTAATTTTAAGGCTTAAAGTCTCTAAATCAATATTTTCGATGTCGTCAGAAAGGGATGATGTTTCGGTCAAAGTGCTCAGGACGTGTTGCATTTTTTCATTTGGATTACCCACTTTAGAGTGCCAAATATCAAAAATTGTCATCCTCGATACAGAACATTTGAAAAATGTACCTAAAACAATATGAAAGCTGAACTTAAAAAAAATTAAAAATTCAATACTATGGACATGCATACTTTGACACCCCTTTAAGCCAAGAAGAGGCAGCAAGATGCAAATGAAACTTATAGCTCTTAATAAGGACATACTCCTTATTCAAAAACCATATACCTCAGGTGCAGCTCAGCGCAGCCAAAAGTTGTAGGTCTAAAGGAAATTAAGTTATGCCAAAAATTTTCACCAAAAAACTGTCTTCAATAAAAAAATTATATAAAAAAAATATGCATAAAAAAAAATTAAAAAAAATTGATAATAAAAATACATACCATGCTCTTGGATCTCCATGCTTTCACAACACGTAAACACTTGATTTGGAATAGTGACACTCAAAAACAAAGTGATGAAGTTTCGATGACTCACACGTGGTGATAATTAGTCTCGCGATGCGCTCACTTCCGATGCACAAAAGTGAATGATAACGTGACCTAATTACATTGATATTTATAGTTTTTGGAAGCTTGTTAACTAGTTACTAACTTAGTGAGTTGATCTAACCGGGATAAGCCAATGATTTTTTTTTATTTATGGCCTATGGGGGAATCACAGTGCAGAGTTCGCAGCCGCCGAGGTGCGTGTATGAAAGTGTCTATTCAAATACAAGGGTGACTACAACTGCGACGCCGCGCCACCGCGCCGCCGCGCCCGCGGCGCCGCACGCCACACGCCACGTGTCACAGCTGTTGTTACGGCGCCGTGTGCAGTCAGCCTAATAGGAGACAGATACGTGGGCGACTTTGGACGATTTTGATAAGAAATATACCTAAGATAACTTTTATAAAGTATTAGTGATGGCAACATGCACGCGGCAACATGTCTATAATCAATTATAATGCTGCTGCACTATATTTAACAACTGTTATTAACAACTGCTGTTCTGAAACTATACTACATCGCGGAATACGATGCTAACAATTGATTAAAAAAAATAATTAAAATAGACAAATTTCAATAATACAAAAGCACAAAATCCTAATTTAAAATGTGTGATTTATGTTGTGCACCGACGTATTATAATCGTAAGATTTGCAAATCGCAAGCATGGATTTGAGAAGCGCTATTGCATACTTGGTACTTCCCACGACAACATTATATAGGATAACAACAATTTTGCTAGTTGTCCTCTAAGGGCGCATTTACACTACTTACACCGGGTAGCTTGGAAGAAGCGTAAAAGGTCGCCCGACGACTTGGTGTATATGCGCCATTAAGAGTTATACATTGTGTAAGACGTGCGCATAAACGTATATTATCTTTTATTTTAATAAATGATAATACAGGTTCCCAAAAACTATGCGCGCGTCTCTTTCTGGTCAAATTGGAAAAAAATAGTTTTCAATTACCTTGTGACACGTAATAAAATATACTATAATTCCGACCAAAGCGGCAATAACTATAGCCAGGACGACTAGACTACAGCATACGCAATGGGAGATGAAGACTCCTCCTTTTCTGTCATACTCGATGTCCTCGTCGACTGTGTGCGTTTCGTGGGCTAGGAATTGCTGGCGGCTTGTAGAAAGCGTCATTTTTGTACCCTGAAAACTAGACTAAAAGGTACAGTAATATGTATCTATATATAAGTAGGAATACGAAACCATCATCTTTGCTTCTTTCTATAGTCTACGCAATATAAACGTAGTTTTTAACAAATTAAATACGTTTTAGGACGGGGTAAGTATAAAGACAGTAATTAGTAGATTTTATCCCCTGTATCTATCTACATAAGTGACTGAGTTGAATTTAAGGGTAAGTTAACTTAATTCACCTGAACTAATTCATCTAAGTGCATTCAGTACACTTTTAGTAAACTTAAATCATCTGGGTGCATTAGATAAACATAAAAGTAAACTTTATTCACCTAATTCACCTGGTGAACATAAAAGTAAACAGCATTCACACCTTTATTTAATATGGAACCTTTGTCAAAAAAAGCTTTACTCATTTGCTCTGGCCACCTGAGACACTTTCAGTTGTTTTTGAATGAATAACGTTGAGAAAACTATAATTTTTGACAACTATCTATTTCGACTATACGACAAAAAAAGTCAAAGTCAAAGAAAGTTTACACTACTTTGTGGTTGAGTGCATTGCAAATCGATATTTCATGGTGTCACCATGAAACGTCTTTCATGGTGACACCGGGTTCTGTCCCCGGCCCGGTCAATGTAGAAAACTTACTTTTCTATATTGTCTCGGGTCTGGGTGTTTGTGGTACCGTCGTTGTTTCCGATTGCCATAAGACAAGTACCTTAGTTACTTACTTTGGGATCAGAGCAACGTATGTGATGTTGTCTAATAAAAAAGTCTTTATTATTATTATATTTTTAGTAGCAGTACAACTTCTTGTGAAAGAGTTCGTCCAGAGAAGTACTTTCACCGTACCTATTTCTGCCGCCCAGCAGTAATATCAGCATTAATGTGTTTCGGTTTTGAAGGGTAAGGGTGCTGGTGAAATTACTGGCACATGAGACTTGTCAACTTATGTCTCAGAGTGACGGGCGCAGTGGAAGCGCTCAAATTTTTGCGATTTAAGGTTCTGAGTGGCAATGCAACTATTATGGGCAGGCGTGTAGTTTATCATAAGGCGCACGACTTGTCCGTCCTGTCACTTGATAATACAAATAAATAAAAAAAATTGCAGGCGCCTAAGTATACACTTACATAGGTACTTACTCTAAATATAAACGTTAGAATATGTGTGTAAGTGTATTTTGCAAATTGATTAATGTTCCACAACCGGTAGGCTATGTCTAATGGTATCGCACGGCCGTAGCCAATGTGCATGCGGGCTCTTGATAAAACTAATGTTTAGTACCGTCAGTCAAGTACCATAAGATAAGTAGGAAAAACTATGTCTTGGGTATCAACATGTACTATAGTAGTGGTCCTAACGTTTACTTAGGACCATTTATGATCTTTATGTCATTGGTAGGTATACATCCTATATATCATCTATCCATGTATCAGTATTTCCCTGAAATATTTCTTACTGTCTTTGCTTATGAAATATAAATAAAGAAAGAGTTGTACCTATAAATGAGCTTTATGTGATCTCCCACAACTCGTCAATGTTCGGCATGCCTACAAAATAATCTCCGTACAGAGTGCTAAAAAACCGACTTGAAAAGTTCGTAGAATTATATCTACTTGCCAAGTTTTATTGCATTCGGTTATCGGAAAGTGCGCGAAACCCGGATTCATCCTCTAGATTAATTTGCCACCCTCAGAAGCAGAATATTTTCTTGAAATTTAAATGGAAGTAATACTGCGGTACCCTCCTTCCAACAAAAAAGGAAACATCAAAATCTGTTCAGAAATGCTAGAGTTATGGCGTAACATACATACCTACAAAAATACAGTCCAATTGAGAACCTCCTCCTTGTTTTGAAGTCGGTTAAAAAGTACTCGCTATTTCCACTAAATGACTAATTTTCTTAAAAGTACAATGAAAATGGAACTTTTTAAAACAAGTACCTACAGTTCTTGCGACGTTGAAGCAACAAACAATCGTAAATTTTTATATAGCTTTACCTTTTTTTGTAATACATAAATTTTAATGTATGATTCCTACAACTTTCAATTGTAAAAAAATGTGAGGAATATGTTATAATTTTTTTTAGACAAAATAAGTGCGCATTTGATCTCCATCTCACCTACGGAAGAAAATAAAAACAATGGAAGGGCCTTAGTAAGCCTCGAATATGTTTCTACGATTACATTAAAATTGTATTTATTGTTCTGTAATCTCATCAGATAGAAAGTGATGACGGAACTTGCACGCGTATATGTATATATAATATCTATGCACTCTCGCCTTGAAAAGTCCCAAGTTATAGCGTTCGAGAAAAAAATCTGCAGGCAGGGAATTCCACTCCACTGCCGTACGCTACGCAAATGTGAAAGCGTAACGCTTCGTCCGATCTTGGGTATATCCACAACATAAAGATGGAACCCCGTATACTAACCCCGTCTAATCTGAATCACTGAAGATGGAGAGGGGATGATATTTCGTGCAATTATATGGTATATCTTGTAAAACACAGACAAGCAAGCAACTTTATGGAGGCATTCTAGGCTTTGTAACTTCGCCTCTACTAAACCTGAGTCACCGATAAGCCTCTTGGCACGTTTCTCAGTGGAATCTAAGGTGATCATTTGGTAGTTAACAGATCTATCCTTTAGGTGGCAGTAATACTTTATACACAACCGGTCATTGTTTAGTACATTTGTAGCAACGGTCTCGTTATGAAGTAAATATTCATTTTGGAAAGGATGCTAAGCTCCCTCTCTGCATTTTTGACTATGGGGATTCAATGAATCTGCCGAAAGTCATACTGGACGACAGATCCATTTTAAGTATTAATAATATCGTCAGCTATCGGTATGGATATATCTCGAAAAGTCTGAGTCAGGTGAAAACGCAGACCAAATAAAAGTGAAAAGAACTCCGTTTGTCACATTCATTGCCCCAATCGGAAACTGGCTTGAGTGTCAAATCTAAACGATTAACTATAGACCCTCAAGAAGACTGCAGTTCTTTCCACTGGGCCTTGCATTGCTCAAGTATTTATCCGCAACTGTGCTGTCATCAGCATATCCCAATGAAATTTTTTTTTATAATGTCAAGTCACGGGACGAACACGTCGTGCGGCTGATGGTACACGCCTGTCTATAACAGTTGCAGTGCCACTCAGAGCTTTAAATCGCAAAGATCTGACGGACAAAGAAGCTCAAACGCTGGGTGCATAACTGAAGGAGTCAAAATGATAATAGAATGATGAAGACGATAATCTTTTGTGTTCCTAACAAAATGAAACTCAGAAAAGAGACGGTTGACCTAAGAAATGCCCACCGCCGTCAGCTATAGACTTTTGTGATATTATGGGAGTTTTAGTATAGAGAACTCTAGTGGCAGTACCACCTGAGCACAAGTTTATTAATAACTTGCATTTATCGAGTTCTTAGGTTTGTGCGATTGTTACACATAGGAAAAGAAATGTATTTTTTCAGGTCTAAATCGCGTATATATGTTTTTTCAAATAAACCAATGTTTCGCATCCTTTACAACATGGTCAGCCGTGAGAATGGGACTAGTAAAGGGGCCCGAAATATTATTTTTAAAAAAAAAAAAAACAATCTTACGTGATTTAGATTAGAAAAAATCGTTTCATTTCCAAACTTGCATTTAGACGGTCAGTAAGTAGTAGCGTATAGTATTAAACTCTATTGTTATTTAAAATACTGTGTTTGTGATAACATTTTATAATATCACGATGATTCATTATTATATGCCTGTCCTCAAACTCAATTATCGACGTTAATTGCACGTTAACCGATACTGATTATTTTAATTAAAACGTTGCCCAAATTAAACAAATTTTCAATGAAACCAATGCACACTAAGATTAATTTATAAAATCTGGTTATTAATAAAATGGTCACTATGACCATGGTCACCATTGGACCTGTAAAGGGTCCGAAACGTTGGTTTGTTTGAAAAAACAAATATACGCGATTTAAATCCGGAAAAATATTTTCATTTCCTATGTGTAACAATCGCGAAAACCTAAGAACTCGAAATAACATTGTAACTTTAGAAAACTGGGCCTATAAGTACCGTAATACCTATTGGTAGTTAATTTCAATTGTCAATGACTTCGTGAGAAGTAACTTAATTATTATAATTTTGACGGGGATAATTATAACTAGTAAAAAAAATCGACATTAATCGGTTATCTGCTTTCGCTGTGTTCGTTACATATCTATTTGCAAAGTTTTATTGAAATCGGTTAACGGAAAGTGGATGAAATCCATTAAACCGCATTCTTCTCTTAATTTGCCACCTGCAGACGTGGAATATTTTCTTTAAATTTGAATGGGACCATTACGTTCCCTCTTTCAAAAAAAAGGAATCATCAAAATCGGTTCACAAATATCGGTGTAATCGTGTTACAAAAAATACAGTGAATTGAGAACCTACTCCTCTTTTGAAGTCATTTAAAAATTAATTACATGCACACAAAAGTGGCTACAAAATGAATAGAATATGATAATAATACGAAAAATATGCCAGAAAATTTTTAACTGATCTGAAAATACGAAATTACCCTCAATAATCAATATTAAATACAATATTTTTAATGTATTTTTAGTGAATTTATACGTGATTTAGTACCTGTACTTGGCACCTTGTTGTACCGGAAATTTCAATAGGTGGACACATGGAGGTACACCGTAATAATGTAAAAATGTGGTTTAATCTTATTATGTAAGATTAAGGTACATGCTTATTATAATTTATTATATGTAAAGGTGGAAAGGGAAATAAATCTTTCAATTTATTTATGCCTAAGGACTTGAATAGATCTTATAACGAAATGTACTACTGTTATCTTAGATGCAGTGTTACGTTGCGTTGATACCCGTAGTTGATCACCCGCCTGTGGTAAGTATAAATGTAAACTTTGAAATGCCATTGTCATGAATAACGTTCAATAATTTGTTCGAATGTATGTAATTGTAACACAACAATAATTAATTAGATGAAAATTATATTAAAACTACGTTTAAGACAAGTATTGCAAGGAAATACGCAAAGAATACTTAAAATTATCGGGCAATGTTTTATGGTAGAAGTGAACTTTGTGCAAACTGTTTATTTATGTATAGGTATACCAACATATTACGTACGTACCTACATATTTCCATGTAAATTGCTCACCAAAACTACCGTGATGTCAGATAATATGTGTAGTCTTACGGATAAAATAAACAAACTTGAAGGTAAATTGTCGTAAAGTAATTTTTAAGAAGAATAAACTACTATTTGCTACAAATATAACACGAACAAAAACACCTGTGCTGTTGCTGTTGTAGGAAAAAAACGTGATTAACAAATTCACTCACCGTCTTGAAAACGTGAAATCCAATTAAATTCCAATGTTTCAGCTGAAATTGAAAACCACACTGTCTCTTAAGTGAATAGTAGAACCTCAAATTATATCACTAAGTTTAAAGAAAAATAATTTTGACGAAAAATTTATTTAAAAAAATTGGTAATAAAACTCTCGAATGCGCGCGCGCCGTTGTGGATCTACTCCGATATGACTTGCTATTAAAGTGGGCGGTAGACGTGCGTTTTACGCGTTGAATGCCAATTTATTATGATCTTTCATAACACCTGCGTTTTTTCTTGTTCTACAAAAATGTACAAGTGAAAGGAGGCGAGGTAGGTCTATATGCTTGGTCTTGGGAATTACTCATAAATACACCTTCTTCATTCTGAAGGCCTTGGGCGTTGAGAAATATGGCTTCCGTATGAATACTTCATACTTTATATTTTTAATAGAAGGCGGTTGCCATTCCGAGGTTTCTACATTTTATGTTGCACTTTTACAACTACCTTCTTGATAATCCGTCCACGTTATCACCCTACGTTTTCATGTTTGTGCTGGTCTTATAATAATATTTGTGGGGAGAGTTAGATAATACCATGCGTCTGACATAATTTCGTACGCAGTTCACTTACTGTTTACAGTGTCGTAGTATCATAGCCTACCACGTGCTACTCCCCGCATGCACGGTATTACTTCATTCCAAGCGATCATGCAAAGGCGTTGCGGCCTTTAAGTTTTTACACTCATGCACTAAAATTTTTTGAAGGTGTTTGGCGATCTCAGTGATTTGTAAGATACGTTTCTAAATCAACTTCGTACGCGTAAACGCTTTCACGATTATCACTCAACTCTCCAACATGCATCTCAAGTAACATTGAGAGTTATACTGTTGGCCTCGACATGATCTTTAAGGATAAATAGTGCTTCCGATCTGACCTTAGAAATTTAGGGTACTATGCATAAAATCGTTCGACGTGCCGCAAACGGGTCTAAATTCGAAAACTATTTACGCCACATTTCACTGGGTCCGCTGCAGCGCTGGGAAGAAATTCCAAATGTTTGGAAGACAACAGGAGAAGAAGGATAATAACAGGATTTCATTTACTACGTTTACTCGAGGAGCTTGACCAGTTTAATTAATTTAGAACAGTACGTACTCTCTACACTAATTATACACATGACATATGTAGGTGCAAAACTGCACACGCTTAATTTTAATGATAATTAATGTATAAGCTATGGACATATAGAAGAGGATTTGTATATACGTAGAAACACACAGATTCAAAAAATTATAAAATGGCTAAATTCTCACAATTATGAATTCAATATAAAAAAATCAAAACTTATTCAGTTTAGACCGCACCAAAAACAAAAAACCAAAATAATCACCTTTACATAAACAATACAAATATAAAAATACAGAATTAAAAGCAGACACTACAGTTTCTCGGTATTGAATTAGACTTTTTTTTACCATGAATTGGAAATGTCATGTACAAAACGTAACTAGTAACTTGTCTTCTTTTACTTACGTGTTACAAAAAGGTTATAGATATAAAACTGCTCTATCTGCGCATTATGCCTTATCCACTTAAAGCTCAAATACGGGATAGTTTTATGGGGAAATAAGATATACTTTATTATACACAAGATTTTTACACTAACCTCAGTTTACATTCTTGACTATAAAAAATTCTCACCTGTAAAAACACTGAAACGTAACAATAAAGGTCTACACATGTTGAAACGTCCTTTCGGTGCTCTCAGTCGATACCATTCAGGGCCCACTGTATGGTAATTAAAATAATGCGATCCCAATAAATGTAAAAACACAAGACACACTTTGTAAAACATCTGAAAAGCTATCTACAAAGTAAAAATTTTCATTCTATAAAACAATTCTTTTTAGAAAACTTTGGAACTGTTCAAATTTTCGAAGCATATGATTTGTGAGTATTCGATGTAGGTACGTAAATATATATAAGTGTATCAGGACTAAAACTTTAATATTATTTATTTCTATACATTGTCGTTACTGCCTAACATTCTTCAACTGTGACCATGAAACCATTAAAGGGCCCGAAACGTCTGTTTGTTGTATAGTTTTATTTATTTCAACGTTATTAGTAAATTAAGAACCTAGGGCCCTCGAATCTTGCAGTGTGTTTATGGGGGTGTTTATGTGAAACAACCTTTATTGGCTTAAGAACACCTGTTTTATTATAACCATGTGACTGACTTTTTTTTATAATATCAAGTGGCGGGACAAACAAGTGCTACGTCTACGTAAGTTACACGCCTATCCATAATAGTTGCAGTGCTACTCAGAGCTTTAAATCGCAAAGAACTGAGGGGCACCGCCACTGCGCCAGTCACCCTGAGATAAGTTGACAAGTCCCATGTGCCTGTAATTTCACTAGCACCCTTACCCTTCTAAACCGGAACGCAGTAATGCTAACATTACTGCTTGGCGGCAGAAATGGGTAAGGTGGCAGTGCTTCCCTGGATGAACTCTTTCACAAGGAGCTCTACTGCTACAAAATATCTAGAAGCTCCAGGCTACAGCCACTATCATAGTGCTATTATCAATGTTAAATATAATGCTAATCGTAACGGTATAGTTTTCTTAGCGTAGTACATTGTTTCTTTATAATATGATGCTCGGAAAATTCTGCTCATATAAAAGAGCTATGTATCAGGTTTGATTGAAAACACTTTATAAATTTTACGCTAGCGTTGTGCTAGCGAAAGCGAGATCATTTGTTTTCATAACAATCTAGAACCAGATGTAAACACCAGAGATATTGTGTAACTGATAATGCAATACAGTTGTGTTCATAAAACTCGGCTTCTATGCCAGATGCGCCCTTATTGATTTGAAATACAATCTTTTATTGGAATGGGGTTCAAATAACCTTTTCAAATGATAAATGAGGGCTATCAGCCGCTTGACTGACCAACAAAAACAAATGAGTTCTTGCAAATATGCTGACTGACTGATATTTTCGGGTCTATATGTTAATAAGTGAGTCATTATTTACTTAAAAATGATTCCATCTATCTCTCGTATCAACCGTAATGAATATCCTTATTATATAAATTGTATTTTGCATCAAGTTTTAAGGTTTTCGCCGCGATTGCTACACATTGGAAATGAAATATTTTTTCATGATTTAAAACTGCGTACATTTGTTTTTTTCAAACAAACTCACGTTTCTAGCTCTGTACAGGTCTCACGGTTACGTTTGACTGCGTAAAGAGCTCGAAATGTTGGTTTAATTGAAAAAAAAATTAATTAAATAAACGCGATTTTAGACAAAATCACATACGTTGCTCTGATCCCAAAGAAGTAGCTAAAGTATTTGTGTTATGGAAATCGGACATAACGTCGGCACCACAAACACCCAGACCCGAGACAATATAGAAAAGTTAGTTTCTACATTGACCCGGTCGGTGATCGAACCCGGGACCTCATGGGATGGTCAAGCAACTCGAGGCAAGCCACGACCACGGAGGCCGTCACAGACCCGGAGAACATCTAATATTTTATAATTTTTATTATTCGTTTTAAAAAGATTCCATTCAGGTATCAAACTATCTAACTTAACCATCTAAATTATGTAAAGCTGAGCTACGATATCTTGTGGGGAAATAGCATAGACGCCTTGAAGCTATTCACTTTACAGAAGAATTGTAATATAGAACACTACTAAATATCGCTTCAACGGAAAGTTAGTTAGATAATACCGCTAGCTATTCCTCCATAGATAATACAACTCGAATTAAAATGTTGTAAAAAGTAACGACGCGACAGCTGCGATGTATTGTAAAAAAAATGCTAAATTTTTATGCTGAAAATACGAGTATATCATCGAACCTCAAATATAAAAATAGATCAGCACATAGAAAAATATATTATCTAGATCGAAATTACAAATGTCCAATTTAGGGCCGTATGGCTATTAAAAATTACAACAAAATTTCTAAGGATATTTAATCACAGATCCCTATAATTTATTCACCAAACATACTTATTAACAACAACTAACTTAACTGCCTCTGTGGCCGAACGGTTGCCGTGACTGTCACGCAGAGGTCCCATATTCGATTCCCAGAGGTCGCAGAGCCGGGAGAAATATTTGTATGGCCTACATTTATAATTTCTCTCGTGAGTTTGGATGTAATTTGTGGTTGTCTATGTGTGTGTCCATGGCAACCGCGACACAGGGTTTCCATAGTGTTGGGCTATGTGGAGTATGTGCATTATTATTATTAACTAAAGGATCATTTGATAGACAAATGTTACTATAGCCTGAAGGAGTATTTTTAAGACAGAGTGGCTATATCAACTTACGCCTGCAACAAAAACTATACATATTATGTCAAGTTATATTTTTCTTTTGCTATTATTATGTTTAAATTATTAGTTTTTCGTTAAAATAACTTTATAGTATGTTTAGGAAATAAAACTATTTTTCCGGATTTAAATCGGGTATATTTGTTTTTTCAAACAAACCGACTTTTCGGGCCCTTTACAGGTCCCATGGTCACGGTTGACTCACTCACTCACTCTGACTCACTCAGTCAACCGTGACCATGAGAC